GGATCTACTGTATACACAGAGAACTCTATTCAACCCTCTGTAATGACCTATATGGGAAAAGAATCTAAAGAGTGGATATATGAATGTGTGGGTGTGTGTGTGTGTACAGCAGATGATTCTCTTTGCTGTACAACAGAAACAATATTATTAACAAACTATACTGTGATAATAATTAATTTAAAATATAATTACAGATCATATTAATAAGCCATTTTTAACCCCTCTGTAAAAAATGGCCACATATCCATGTTGTTGAGAAGCACTGTCATAAGGAAAGTCTGGCCTCAGGTTTTTCCTCATGGCATGAGTGGAATCTACTCTGGGGTTAGAGCCTCTCTAAAGAGGTGGGAAGTAGAGCTAGACTATAAATATATTCAGTTATGTTTGGGGTCCTGGCTTTCATGTTTGATAATTGGTTATTATTTTCTTAAATAATGTAGCTAGCTACCAAAATCAATATATGAGAGCTGAACATTTTCTTTTTGAAAATGAAACAAACTACCTAAGGAAATAAAATAAATAAATGAGAGCCACTGTGGGCCAAAGATGTCAGCATAATGTAACTTCCACTGGGAAGCTTCTGAGATCTTTTGTAAGGAAAAAATATCCTGAACTATTCAACGTAAAATCTTAAAATCTTTATTAGCAGGAGACTTGTGTGTATTGGTGCAATTAGTGGCTTCCTCTTAAATTTACTTTTAAGTGTGAACATGATTTTATTTTATCACTTTTGTATAATGTCCAGGGGCACTAAAAAATCATATTCTATCACTACTGCATGAGCTCTGAGTCCCTACATTCCTTAGAATGCCTTTTACATTGCTTTCTTATATTTATAAACAAGGTGGAAGTGACTTGAGCCCTAGAATTTGCTAGGTACTAAATCTTTTATTTGGAAGGTAGTCAGTGAAAAGAGACATGATACACTTTGTCAAGCAAAACCAAATAGATTTTGAAATGGGACTGTCAAGCTTAATTAAAACAGAAACTCATTCATGATGTGATATTTGACCTTTCAAGGAGGAGTGTATGTCCCACGCAGGTGAGGAATGTGTGAATTGTGTCATATAAACAGTTTTTATACCCTTCATAACTTATTTTATCAGTAACAATGCAAGGTGGCATAATATACTGCACTATAAAATCACTATATTGCTTGGTGAAAGTTACATGGGATTTGATTGGAAAAAGATATGAATTGTGTGTTGGTGAAAACATTCCTCATTGTTCTATAATGGGAAAAAAGTAGCTAAACATCTCAGTATGCTTGCCAAGTCCGTTTATGGGTAAATGCGGTTACACATAAAAAAAGTCAGCAAATAAGCTTTACCTTCCTTGAAAATCTTTGTCTTATGAAATAAGTCATATTTCCCTTTCACCATGAGAAAGGATTTGGATGAAACCCTTGGCATTTGCTCTAATTATGTTATAATATTATTCATCATTCTTAACTCAAAAGCTCAGTATCTGTATTAGTCATACCACTCTGAGCTCTTTATTAACCAGAAATACATGATATACTTTTTAAAACCATATACATTCAGATTCAATAGGCAGATGGTAGTTACTGAAAATTCCCCAAACTGCTGCAAGTTAAATTTAAACACAAGTTGACGGTTCACACATTTTTGGTAAGGGACTTGGATAAATGGAAACTGAATTTGATGACATTTACAAATATTTTCACTGTTTTCTTGGATGATTGCTTGATTCAGATGTGGTCTTTTCCTTTTTTCCCCCTTTCTCTTTCCTTCCAACTCTTTCCCAGGGAATTTACTGCCTTAAGATAACAACAGGAGATGAACTAACAGACATGGACCTCTAGACTGGATCTTTCATTGACTTACAGGCCCTAGTTACAGAACTGAAAAAGCTGTGAGCCCCACATATTGAGAATCATGAGTACGGTCTACATGTGTGAGGCCATAGAAAAGAAAAAATTTTCTCGTTGGATTTGTTTATTCAGGACAAACACGCTTCAAAGGGTATTCCAGAAAATACTAATCTTATAGAAAAGGCCACATGGTCAGATATTTTGGGCAGTAATAAGGCTTGCAGAGCTTTTTTTTTTTTAATGAAAATAGTTTCATTTTGGTTCATCCTATTTAAGAATGTTAGAATATTGTATGTAAAAATCCAGACTTCTTGTTCTCTAGAAAAACTGAAGACATGACAATAATTTCTTGCAGCTTTCATTTGTCAGCAAACGAGTGCTTCATTAGTCAAGGACCACTCAACATGCTTGGATTCTGGAAGCCTTTTACTTTACTCCCTCTGTTTTAGTCTTTCTTGAGGACACACAGTATCTTTTGATGTATTAAAGGCTCTGAGAATCCTTTTAAATACTTCTACTTTATTTTGTTGAAAAAAATTTCCCTAATATATTTAATTATAGAAGTCTCTTGCTCCACATTTTGAGAGATACTGTTCTAGATAAATCTTTGGGTTTATGACTTCAGTTTTCACCTCTGAAATTTATAGATGAAATCAATTTGTAACATATTACATGGTACATAGATATGGACCACAAAATGCAAGCAATTCTGAATTGTTGGTATGAATTTTATGCTACCTCCTAGAAAATATTTGTTAAAGTGATTAGGAAGCTCAGATTTTGCAATAAGGTTTTCATTTCCATTTTTGGATGCTTCTATAGGCATTCAAGATGCAGAACAAATCCACCTAGTCAGAGTATTTATATATTCAATCAGATTTCAAGGTATATTAGAAGAGATGAAGGAGCCTCTGGATTTTACCCAAAGGTTAACTGAAAAATCCACTCTAGGAGACCCACTGTGCCACTGATCTAGTAACAGGCCCTAATAACACATATTCTGGAGAAAAGACTTTGGAGGAAAAAAACATACTTGCAGTGTGATATGATAAGTAACAGGAATGTACAGTAATATTATGTTCTACCAAAGTGCTAACATAATATCTACTTAAACAAGAATTTAAGTAGATAGTCTTTCCTAAAAGTGTCAGCTAAATAACTCTAAAAAAAGAATATGGACACAAACTGATCTTTGAGGGGCTGAACCCTGTATGTATCATCCAGGTGATCACTATGGAAGCCCAATAATAGGATTTGACATTTCATCTTGCTGGCTGAGAACACTGAACTTCTAGTAATGAATTTCTAGTTTTTAAATTATTAGAGTTGGAAATATTGGTTATGATATCAGCAATGACCCTGTGCAAATAATTCTGGTGGACTATGTGTCACTACATGAATGTTCTCTGGATTTGGCTAACTCTGATTGAGGAAAAATAAATGGCAAATGAAGAGGACACAATGATTTAGAAAGAAGTTATTTACCACTTTAATAGGGCTGTCCAACATTTGGTCACACAGATCATTCTGAAACCTAACTGCTTTAACAGTCTTTCAATCTCACCAGAAGAGATCTCTGAATACTCTTGGAAAAATCAAATCAAATATAGAAAGAGGTGCCATGATAAGACTTGTTGCTACAGCACTATGTTATTAATGATGTCAGACTTTGGATTTAATCGGAGGACATTTCTGCAGTTTAGGATAGCTATACAAAGCCTTAAGACACTGTATTTACAGAACTTAATACAGGGATCCATATTTGACCATCACTCTGCCAGAGTCTTAACAGCATGGTGGAGTGGCTCCCTCAAGAATCCTCATTTTTCTTATCTGTGGAAAAGCTAGTAGTTCTAAAAATATTTTCCTGGAAGAGGTTTAGAATGGTTATTATATATCAATTGAATATAAAGTATGGTTATGTAAGCCAAGCTTGCATGCTAATATTGCACAGGATAGAAAACAATAAATCAGGATGATGTGCTTCCTTGGGCCATCTGGTAGAAACAGAAGGAAGCTCTTGACTCGGTTGTTTTGATGCCTCAGATTCCAGGAGTCCACCTGTAGCTGGCCTTCCAGTGCCAGTGCCATGCCGACCTCTCAAAAGGGCACATGTTTTCCTTGCCGATAGCAAAAGAAATGACAAGAAAACAAAACAAAACATCCAAAACTCAAAGAGGTACACCAGCCGTCTCAAACTGTGCTACAGTTCATTTCTTGAAGAGAATATATAATATTTCAAAATATTATGTATATACATGTATTTCAAGTGGTACAAAGTAACTGTAGATCCAAATGAGAAGATAGTTGATCGTTCTTCGTAATCCCAAAAAATTTGCATTGAGAAAACCCATTTTTTTTTTTCTTAACCCACTTTCCATGGTACCGCCAAAACTTCGGGTCTTCTCACTCTAGGATACTCAGTGATACACAGTAAAAGCACTGTGCTTATCTGGTAATCAGTCAAAGTGCAAATAAGAAATCCATTTGGCTTCTAATGTATAAGATGTTTTAACTTTTTAAAATGATCTCACCAGAAGAGATCTCTGAATACTCTTGGAAAAATCAAATCAAATATAGAAAGAGGTGCCATGATAAGACTTGTTGCTACAGCACTATGTTATTAATGATGTCAGACTTTGGATTTAATCGGAGGACATTTCTGCAGTTTAGGATAGCTATACAAAGCCTTAAGACACTGTATTTACAGAACTTAATACAGGGATCCATATTTGACCATCACTCTGCCAGAGTCTTAACAGCATGGTGGAGTGGCTCCCTCAAGAATCCTCATTTTTCTTATCTGTGGAAAAGCTAGTAGTTCTAAAAATATTTTCCTGGAAGAGGTTTAGAATGGTTATTATATATCAATTGAATATAAAGTATGGTTATGTAAGCCAAGCTTGCATGCTAATATTGCACAGGATAGAAAACAATAAATCAGGATGATGTGCTTCCTTGGGCCATCTGGTAGAAACAGAAGGAAGCTCTTGACTCGGTTGTTTTGATGCCTCAGATTCCAGGAGTCCACCTGTAGCTGGCCTTCCAGTGCCAGTGCCATGCCGACCTCTCAAAAGGGCACATGGTTTCCTTGCCGATAGCAAAAGAAATGACAAGAAAACAAAACAAAACATCCAAAACTCAAAGAGGTACACCAGCCGTCTCAAACTGTGCTACAGTTCATTTCTTGAAGAGAATATATAATATTTCAAAATATTATGTATATACATGTATTTCAAGTGGTACAAAGTAACTGTAGATCCAAATGAGAAGATAGTTGATCGTTCTTCGTAATCCCAAAAAATTTGCATTGAGAAAACCCATTTTTTTTTTTCTTAACCCACTTTCCATGGTACCGCCAAAACTTCGGGTCTTCTCACTCTAGGATACTCAGTGATACACAGTAAAAGCACTGTGCTTATCTGGTAATCAGTCAAAGTGCAAATAAGAAATCCATTTGGCTTCTAATGTATAAGATGTTTTAACTTTTTAAAATGCATTTTCCACAAAGTTGGTTTTCCTTTATTACTGTAACAAATGCTTCCGTTAGGTTCTTGGGTGAATCTGAAAGCAAAGAGAGAAAGAAAGAAATTTCAGGAAGAAAAGAAGGAAAAGAAGGCACGAAGAAAGAGGATTAGGAGGAAAATTAAGGACACCATGAATTTTTAGGATGTTGCTTCTTTCAAGTGCACTGAAATAAAAAATGTTCAAGTCTAGAGCAGCAGTTTTCAAACGGTGATCAAAGCACATGCACAGGCCACCGTATTTGTATCAATTCATTAATTTTTGCCACAAGTGAGGACACAGACTCTTGGAGCAATGGTTAAGCAGGACTGCGGTCATGGGCATGCAACCTACGTAACTGTGGGGAGCCCTGCGCCGAAAAGGACCTTGCACTTGGTTTAATGACCCGCAATTGCCATCTTGAAATTCGTAGTAATTTTTAAACAGGGGTTTTGTGTTTTCATTTTGCACTGGACTCTTTCTGTAAATTATGTAGTTATTCCTATGTCTGTCTGACGAGAATTTCATGAGAAGGAAATTCCTTAGCTTTGTCATGTTGGTCGCTCATAAGATGCAGAGGGGTGGCATAAGGTGAAGTCATCGCCAAGATTGGATCACACTTGTTGAGGAATTTAAGAGATCTCTACAAGGCGAGAAACTGTTCTACTCAAACAATGATATAATTTTCAAGGGCAATCAATGGCAACATCTATAACTACTGATGTCATTCAATCCATTCAAATAATGATTCCAAAGACTCATATTCAGAAGGATGCATGCATGAGGAATCACTGGTTTAGAGCATGACAATGGTTCTAATAAAGTTGAAGGTTCTATTTTAGAGTTCTAGGACTTAAAACAGTTTTCTTCATCATCTCTTAATTCTTTATAGTTTTAGAAACTGAGTATTCTGAGTCCAGGAGTGAAGTCCATTTAAAGCATTCAGGGTTAGGTAGGAATGGTAATACATGCTTGCATTCAAAAGTTGTTTGGCCAGGGGCAGAATGTATAAGAAAACTTCACACATTTATTTTTTTGACTCTTTCCACATAAATAACAGATCCTTTCAAACTTCGGTTTCCTATAGTCCAGTGGTGTTTATGACATTTGTTTTCACTGTCTTCTTTTCCACCAAAAGGAAGGAGAAAGGGACATTTCTGAAACTGACTTGGAATTGCCTTTTAAAAAAAAATTTGTAATGACCCTCCCTCTCCTCCATCCCACCCGACCTTAGGCCCTATCCTCCATAGAAGACCAGGAGCCATGTCATGACCATCATCACATTCCCAAGACTTTAACTTTAGATAATAGAGGTTTAATACTATTTATTAAAGAAATGAATGAGTACACCTGGATCACTGTGGCAATTTTGATAGCATAGTTTATTCTTTAAGAAGATAGTTTACTCTTCCTTGCTGCAGTCTCTAAATACCACTCCCACTCCAACCTCCCCTCTTTCCCCATCATCTCTCTCTCTCAAAGGCATTTCTTGCAAAACGAATGGACTAGAGATCAAGACTGTAAAGACTCTCAGAACCTTTCACGCCTGGTGGAATTTTGAGTGAAGAAGCTGGAATATGTCAGAGCTGGTATTTTACTCCTCAGTAATATATTAAAAAAAAAAAACAACAACACTGGGGTGATTAGAATGGGTGGAGACACGCAAAGCCATTAGGAGGATAAGGCAGGAGGCTGTGGACAAATGACTGGTGAATTGTGTTTGGTAAGTCACAGGGCATACCACATCTGAAAAGATGGCTATTGTGGTTAGGTGTGTAATCTGAGGGGTTAGGTTGCAAACTGAGGTCTGTAACTTTCTCTTTTAGGGAATAAGACTCTACAGTGTACACTAACTGTTGATCTCCTCACTAATGTGAAAGACATTAACATACTGGGATGAAGGAAATCCAAAAAGTTGCTTGATATTTCCCCAGATATAAAACCAGATTACCTTCTGGTATTTTAATCTACTAATTTTCCTTCCTGAGTGATTTTGGATTTGTCCTCCTTTTATTCCCTTCCTCTTCTTGTCCCCAGACAATCATTGTTCACTTTCTACACCTAAGTTATTACAGCATTGTCAGACAACTTATTTCCTCAAAGGGGAAGTCTAGCTTTCTGAATTAAGTCATTATTCCTGAATACACAAGGTAGTAGATTCATTTTTGAATACATGAAATATAGCCTCTTCACCTTTCACATTTATGCTTTTCCTCCATCAGTTTAAAGAAAAGAGATAAACCAATGGGCATACACAACCATAGGAAAAAAAATCTCTAGTCAATATTTAGGCAGGTTAGTCTTACTACAAACTACCTACAAAGCAATGTAATAAAAAAACTGAAGCCATGATTAAGTAGGAACAGGGTTAAAATTTAGCCAACTTATGTTTTTCATATATCAGTTCAAAGAAAAGGGATAAACTAATGGATATCTAAAACCATAGGAAGAAAATCTTTAGTCAATATTTAGGGTAGTTTAGTCTTGCTCCAAGTTCCTAACAAAGCAATTTAATAAACCAACTGAAGCTATGATCAAGCAGGACCAGTGTTAAAGTTTAGCCAAGAAGCTTCACCCAGATGCACCAAGCTTCTTCTCAGAAGGCATCTATTTTACTATACCCATGCCATGTTTTTGGAACACCTCTCAAGTGTGACTACTTTCTCTTTATAGTGTCGCATTCAGGAAGTTTCCTCTTTCCCTATGATTTATTCTGCCAAGTCTCCTGAAAGGGAAGCCTCTGCTTGATTCTACTTATCTTCTCTCCTTCCTTCTGAATTTTATTGTCACCCAGATCCAATTTCCCCAAGATTTTCCTTCAGACTGTGTCCTGTTACCCTGGCTAGTCTATATTCTGTGGTGTCTGGTGGTTTAAATGAAACACTGAATTTCTACTCTCCACCTTCCTTAAAAAATGAGCATCCTAAAAATTTAAATTAGAGCACACTTTAAACCATCTTTTTGTTTATCTACATTTGAAAAAATGCTGAGAATTTTGGCTTAGGATGGTTAGTTGGGAAGTAACTCAGATAATAGGGAGTTTATATGGAAAAAAAAAAAGTAGGGAGAAAGACTGAAGTCCCAGGAATCTTTCCTGCAAATTTTTTACACTGAAGTTCCTTTTAAAAAAATAACAGTTTGCAGGAAATTCACAGTTGCCATTAGCAATCTGAGTATATTTCTTCACTTTTCTACTTTTGTTTTTTCTTAAAGAACTCTTTGAATCAATCTTACCCATAGAACAAAAAGAGGTGATTTTCTTTATTCTTCCTTTCTCTTTAATAAGGTCTTGAATTTTTTACCCTAAAGATTACTTCTTAAAGAACAATGAAAACATAAGATTCCTAATTAAAATACATCTGTGACTTAACGTTTTAAAAGTTAAATTGTTAGGGTCAATATTTATACTCTGACAGGGAAAAATGCACAAGGCATACTAAAAAAATTCATATAAAACCTATTTTTTAGAGCATATGATCTAAGGACTGGTGTTAGCCATTTATTTGGGAGGGAGCACCTATGTATATCACCTGGACTTGTGGCTTTTGTGTTTAAAAGTGTTCATTTAAGCATGAATTTCTTTGTAAAGAAGGGGAAAGAAAATTTGTCAATTGCAGTGTTTGGGTTTTCGTAAGGTTTGAAACATTCACCTTTTTCTGTCTTCTTTTTTCCTTCTCTAAAGAGAGACTTGAGAATTCTTAGTTGACTGACGTACCACACATACGGCTATAGAAGACTCTCCTATTTCCTTGCCTGAAACAGATGCACACATCAGAAACAGGCACATCTTCTGCTTTTAAACTGCCTGTAAGGGTGATTTATTTCTCTTATACTGTTCAACTATTAGGATTGCGTTCAGCCCACCTAGTGGTGAAGTGAACACAGTGTATACTGGGCTCTATTACCATGATCAGATTCCACACCATACTTTGGTGATTCGGAAGAATGTCTAGGATGTATTACCACAAGCATGATGGTTTTACAATAAACTCTACGAAAGTCAAATAAAAGAAAGTGACACACAGGTCACAAATAAGCAGAATTAACAATTTCTCTGTTTTGTTTTATTTTCTGTCAGCCAAAGAGTCTTCTCATTGGTACTCTTGGAATTTTACATATCTAAATTCTGAAATATTTTGACTCACGTTATTGCTTTTTAAGGAGTTTTAAGTCTGAAGGTACTATGAGAACAAGTATTACCGTCAATAAAGGGTGATTGCTTATCACTTGGAATAGGGAATGGAGATTTGGCGAAGAGTATGTCAGCAACATGTTCAAAACAACGGCTACTGACTGGCTAAAATTCAGAGTAGCTTAAAACTAACTTGCGAGGGTATCTTCAAATTATCTGGCAAAATCATCTTCATGAAAAATGTAACCAAAGGGAAACCAAAAATCCATACTCTAGACCAGCTAATTAAGATGACTTCTGGGGTAAGTAGCACAAGCTAGGTTCAGTTTTAAACACTCTCTTCTGTAGGTGTGTCTTTGAAATGAAATACAACAGTCTGGGTTGAGCTTCTTGGCACCTTCAATTTGTAGCTTAACAGGCTAGGATGGTTTCGACAAGCCTTCTGGCTGCAAGCCAGGGAGGTGGAGCCATTTACTGGCTAACATGGTCAGTACAGGCAACTAAACTAGAAAAAGAAGAGTCTTCACTTATAAAAAGTTTCATAAAGTGTTATGTTTTCTGCATCACAAAAACGCAAGAACCAATTTTATTTTTTGAAAGGAAAATTCTGAGAAGAAAGACCAGGTTAAGACTCATGATTTAGGGGCTGGAATCAGATATGCCCTTTGAAATTCGGATCGCTCTTTTGGAAACTTACAAGTTCAACATACTGGAATTTTAACTAGTGGAGCTTGCTTTAAAAAGTACTCAATACTTGCAACATACACACATAAAACAGTGCTGATATTCTCATGATACATGTACATATCACCATACTGACTGTTAAAATACTAGTAGACTTTTCTATAGTGAATAGTTACTGTCTTACATACCCTAAAGGATCACCCTCAATACTCCCATTAGAACTTTCAAACTTTCCATGAACTAGTAACTACAGAGTCAACAACTGGCCTAGACTGGCCCCTCTAACCTGTTGCAGCCTCATGACACCAGTTCTGATGGGCTGGGTAGCCTCATATACATCATTGCATATTTTGAAGCCAATTACTGCTTCAACCACACAAAGCAAAGAACAATTATTCACATCAGAGAAACCTTTCATCTCCCTAAAAGAGCATCAAAAATTCCTTTAAACAACCTTTAGAAAATGGCAGTACTTAAATGCAGAAGTTTTTAGAAAACCATCTGGATGAATTAGGCAAGATCCTTATTTTATTGTCTATTCTGCGCACCATAGATGTCCAATGCATTATCCAAATACCCGCCTCACTGCCCCTCTTCCCTTTGGCGATGGCAGCCTAGCTTTGTTTATGAGTCCATAACAGAAACACTAAACTGCTCAGTATGGAGAAGTCAAGTTCAATCTCTAACTTCTCTTTGATGGATGGACACTGATCTGAATAATCAAAAATAGTTTCTGCTGGGGAAAAAGCTTCTTTCTCTCCTGTTCAAAGCTTCTCTGGGTGCTATTTATACAACACAAAGGCAAACAGTACAGTTTGTAACATGCATGAGACATTTGAAAAAAAAAAAAAGAAAACAACTTACTCTTGTGGTCTTGATTTTATTGCCTGTAGCACACATCCATCCAGAATTATCAGGGAGCGTCTTACACTCCTCTCCTTCTAGACAAGGCTCCATCTCACACCACCATTTCCCGATCACAATGGAGGCTGTGCAAAGAAAGGAAACAAGTCTGTTTGCAATCCATCTAACCTGGGCATGAGACTGTGTCCTTCTATAGATATTAATGTTCTGTGAGACGCATTAGGTCCTTTTTAACCTTTCATGATTGGGTAAGAACACTATTAAGAAGAGTAAGATTTTAACTTAAAACATCTTAAAATGCAAATATAATGATGCCATGTGGTTTCATCAAGCTATATTTTGTCCAGAATCTCCTTGTATGATGAAAATATGAAGAACGGGGACATTTCACTTTTTAGAGAAACTTCTGTGTTAGTTTTGTAGATCAAGGACTTGGTACTTTTTTTCAGCAAAAGGAACAAAAGGGCTAAATGTTCTTCAGGATGACTGACTGAGCTGTTCTTTCTCAGAAAGGCCAGTTTATTCACCCCCAGCATTAGGGTTTATCTCCCAGCATAGGGCCTTTGAGAATTGAAAAAAAAAATTTGAAAAAAAGAAAAAAATGAATTGATGGAAAGTACAAAAGAAAGCCTGAGAAATTAACACCAACAGTCATAATAAAGGAAACTATATGTTTACAGTCAAAAGTATATTTGATGTGAGCTTTCAATGTGTTTCCTTTCAATGTGTTTGAGATGGTATGAGTGGAATTTTAAAATCTGAGCCTCTGATAAAACAGCTCTACTTTTTAGGGTGACACCGAGATGACCACATTAGGAAGCTGGTGATGAATTTAGTGGCTGAATTTATAGCACACTTTTTTGGATAATAAGATTTTATAAAACTAGAGACTGGATTCACTCAGTACAAATTAAGCAGCTCCAGAGTTTTAATATCTTGAGTGAAAATGATTTCTGCATAAGCATTGGTTATTTCTGAGGATCCTCAAGGCATTTAAAAAAATTTTTATTTTTTAATCAAATTCACCTGGGCTTTTTCATGAAAAATCCTTAACATATCTGTGAGCGTTTCTTTTGTGATACTTTCCAAATGACTATCTTTACACTGAACTGGAACTCAAGGTTTTTATCTAAAAAAAAAAAGTCGCTTTTCAGTCCCTCACATTCCCACATTGTCTCTACCGTGATGTTTTATTTCAAAACAACAAAGAACCCACAGGACATCTCTTAACATCACGGGGCATTAATGTTAAAATGAAATGGGGTTCATGGTATAGGGAAGCAGGAGCACATTAAAATTCTCTATCCATCCAGCATACATTAGAGGGATCAGACTGCTACCTCAGAAGCAGAATGACTTAAACATCCAGACATTTATCTGCATTTAAATTTCCCTCTTCCACACTTTTCTTATTTCAGACTTTCCCTCCTTTAGAATTCAGTCTTCCTCAAACTTCCCTTTGAACAAAAATTATTCTGCAGGATTACATATGCAAAATTATATCTGTTTTATTATATGGTCAATTTAAAGATTTTTTTCAAGGGTAACTTTGCCTACATTTGATATACACCTTTGGACTAGACCAAATCACAGAAAACACAATTCCATTGGATAGAGCAAGCAGAGGAAGTAGAATCTTGCATATTATTCTATCCATATATAACACAATGTGATATTTTTGAAAAACTCAGACTAAAGCCAGAAAACACAAATCCTCTACCGCAAGGCTCTCCAGCCTCTGGACCATGGACCTGTCTCACCTTCAGATCAGCAGTGGCATTACATTGGAAATAAAGCGCACAAAGGGCTTCCCAGGGGGCTCAGATGGTAAAGAACCTGTCTGCAATGCAGGTCCAATCCCTGGGTTGGGAAGACCCCCTGGAGAAGGGAATGGCAACCCACTCCAGTATTCTTGCCTAGAGAATTCCATGGCCAGAGGAACCTGGTGGGTTACAGTCCATAGGGTTGCAAAGAGTCAGATCCACCGGCATGGAGGGGAATAGAAAAAGCTTTTTAAGAATAAAAATGTCCCAGATCTGCCGATGGTCTCGAAAAATTAGTATTATAGTTGCCTCTCCTACATGGAGTTTGATGACTTGGTATTCCCTCTGGCTTATTAGAATCTAGTTCATTTTTCTAGGATCGCTTTTCTTAAGATGCTATTAGACTTCTGTTGTTTCTGCTTTGTGTATTACAGTCATTTTAATACCTATTATTTTATGGCCTAGGTCAAAATATAGTTTCTCAATCCCCCTTTTTAAATGAACTCATATTTCCTGAAATGTCTTTAAAAAAATTCACAAAGAAAGGATTTAAAAATTGCCTCCTCTTCTCCCAATGTGGAAGCTACTGAAAACCTTCTGAATATTGGACAAGGAATGAACAATTGGATTTAATAAAATGAGCTAATATTAATGCTAGTTAGTTGTTTTTAACAATTTTTCTTACAGAGATAAGTGTAATATTAAAACTGTAAATATAAATAATTCTAAGATAACTTGCATTATAATGGTCAGTTCAATGAAACAAATGATAACTGACATTTCTGAATGCTTCTTGTGTGTCTCTATGTTAGATACTTATAAATGTATAATTTTAGTCTTCAAAGCAATCCTATGAAGTAGATACCATGAGACTCTTTGTTTTTTAGATAAAAAAAATAAAGCCCAGAAAGGTTAAGTAACTTTCCCAAACTTATATAGGTAGAGAAGTTCAGAAATTTATACAAGAATTCAGGCCTGCTTGACCACAAAACCCATGTTTTCCACCATGATAGTGTTAACTCATTTTAGTTTTGAGTTTAAAAATAATAGTTCCCTAAGAAAAACATGTATTGATTTATAAGTGGATGAATGAATTCTCTCTGCTCTATTATTATTGAAAATAAATTTTTTATCAACATGAACACTTGCAGAAAACAAAAACATTCAGTTTTTTGTAAAATTAACTTAAAAAATAATTTGGGAAGGGACAGTTGATCACACTTGTTTCTTCCTAGTCTTAGCTACATATTGCTTCATTTCATTTGTCATAGCATTTTAAGAGAAATTCCCACTAGTGAACACTTTATGAGCCCATAAGAAACTTATGAGGTAGATGTCTAACTGCTCTAAGAACTTTTCTGTCTTAGAAGAAATGAATTAATTAAATATCAGCTGCAAAACCCAACTCTCTCTTACCTGTGGTGATTATGAAAAAGAATCTTAAAAGTCCCTTTTAATCCTGGGATTCTGAGATTCTATGAATGCACCATATTCAGGAAAATATCTGATCTTCAACTTTTTCAAGAATGTTCATCTTTCCTTGAGACATCCTTAAAATCACTAAGGCCACTTTAATCATGAGTCTTGATTTCGCCCTTACACCAGGTCCTATTGCTATTAAGCAGAAGAGAGACCATAAAAGGAGAATGAATCCATTTTTTCGTGATAAATTGTAAGTGGAGCATAAATCCCATTTTTTTTATTTTTTGGGTTGCTGTTCACTGTGAGGAATTTTCCCATGAAAATAGAATGGGATATAATAAGCAATGGGCTTAATATATATTAAAAAAAAATACTGTCTAAGAATTGTCCTTTTAAAAAATCATTTCAGTAGATGTTTGAGTTTTGGTTCAGCAAATGTTTACTGGGTACTTTGCATGGTCAAAGCTCTCTGATTTGCTGAGAGTGATAAAATAATGAACATGACATAGTCCCTACCCTGAGAGCCTACAGCTTAGCTCAGGGTTTCTCAATATGAACACTATTGGCATTTTAGTATGACTTATGGTAAAGGGAAATAAATGAATAAAAAGTGCTCCTCCAGTAGTGAATATGATAATGTACTAGAACAGCAGACTCACGATTGGGAGTAGTAGGAAAATAGAAACTCTTAGTAAGATTGTAGAAGTTTCTTAAAGTGAGGAGCCTGAGCTTTAAAAAAAATTGTTTTGTCATTAACTTATTTTTTAAGGAAAGATAAGTCATTGAAGATTCTTGATTTTCCAAGCAAAGGGATGACCTATTTATAGGGGTGATTGGGGGAAGATGAATTTGGCAGTGATATGCAAGATGCAAGAAGGAAGAAGCAAGAACCTGAAATACCAGGTAAGCACCACTGCCTCCAGATGGAGAAGCGACAGGTCTTGACTTTTGGATGCCTGCTCCAGAATTGTGAAGCACGGTAGAGCAGAAAGTGATGTTAGGAACTTCTGGGGAAACACAGTTGCCAGTATCTCAATGAGGTTAATTGTAATCCTAACCACACTGGACACTAATTATTAACTTATTAGCTCATGTGTCAGGGGCTTCCCTGGTGGCACAAGGGAAAAGAATTTGCCTGCCAAACAGAAGACCCAGGTTCGATTCCTAGGTTGGGAAGATCCCTTGGAGAAAGAAATGGCAACCCACTCCAGTCTTCTTGCCTGGGAAATACCATGGACAGAGGAGCCTGGCAGGCTACAGTCCATGGGGTTGCAAAGAGTAGAGCATGACTTAGCAACTCAACAGCGACAGCAAACAGCTCATATGCCTGCATACTCCTTCTACTCACTAGGTAGTGAATTCCTTGAGGGCACAGATCATATTACATTCATCTTTGAATGGCATACAGTAGTTTAAGACAGGTTCATTCACTCATAAATAAATGAATAAAACAATGAAACAAAAAAGAGAAAGAAAAAATAGTGACTATTTCAAAGGATTGTGAGGATCACATGAGAAATTCATCCCAAGCACTTAATATTGTTTAGCACTCAGCAAATGTTTAATAAATATTAGCTATTATTATCATCAGCAGCAGCATTTTAGTACTCAAAAGAATAAAATCATTCCCAAAGAGAAAAGGCAATTCTTCACAAAGTTAGCAACTACACCATTGTTCTTCAATATTATGCCAAACTCTCAACTTGCTTCTATGACTTCTGAGAGTTTGAGCATAAATTAAATGACCGAACATATGATTGCATTCATGTTCCCAGAAGTAGGTTATAAGTACATCAATCAAGACAAATTTCCAGGCTCATTTTTGTGCAACCTGTCATGCAATTTAAAGCAATGGCTGGGACTCCATTAGAAGAAAGGGACAGCTCTCCAGCCTCCATTTTTGCACAGGTTGTTGGAACAGCTGTTATGAAGCTC